TTTAAAATCATTGGTTACATATAGTAGGTGATATCGCTTGTTTTAATTTAGAAGCCCTGGCCATTATTTATGGTGTCTTTTATGTTTCAGTATCCTGGGGGACGAGGAGACGGGTAAGGGTAGTGAGACAGCAGGCAGGTGGGTTCAACCAACAGCATTTGCATATCATAATGAGATTATTAACGTATGGTTCGTTGGTCTTTGAGGACGTAATATCGGTTGATGAGGCCAGATTAATATTAGACTTTGAAGTTTTAATATAAAGATTAATGAAGAATAAACAGTTTTAGACTTTTAGGCATATACAGGACAGAGAGAATTATCATCTGATAATTGGTTTTTGGCAACATAATATCAGTTGATGAGACCAGATTATATTTAAAGAAGTTCTGCTATAAAGATATGTTACCAAGTCCATAGGTTTAGGCACATGCAGGACCAAGAAAATTGCATGATACAGCACAGTTTGCCAAGAATTGGTAACAAGGAGTTTTAATTATTTGGCTGCTTGGGCCAATTTGAACAGATGGAAAATAGGAGAAGACACTCTGCGATTGAGTAGAGTTGAAAAGTGTAGTGTTTGTAAAGGTCAGTATAATTTATGTGTCATCCTTCAATGCGAGGAAAAAAATTTAAAACACAGCTGTCATGATAATTATTTGGATCATAGAAGTTGCCCTACCTAGAGCGGAATGGCAACTACGTAGTGAGGAATAGCAAGTAAGGATATCTTTAGATCTTTTTAACTTGGCGAGGCCTTTTTTAGATTCATTAACTTAGTTTATTTATAGTTATCATATCTTTTATACCCGAAGGTTGAATTCCTGGAAAGCAAGCATATTCCAACGTAGATGTCACTGAGGACACAAATCTAATCTCTTTGTTGCAGTTAGTATGAAAAGCATTAATGATAAATGTCAGTAGAAAAGGTTTGTAGCAGGGTCTTGCTTCTTACGCTAAATGATTTTCTGAAACCTACTATATGAGATGGGATTTTACTCGTATTGTATGCAAAACTTAAATGGTATCATATGCTTCTTCTTTTTTTTTTTTTTTTAAATAATTTGTGTGTGTATAACTCATAAATCTGAGTGTTGTTCCATGCTGCAATGGAGGAATGTTTAGTTCTGGATGATGATAGGGTGCTGACTCTTTCAAGGCTATGTTTCTAGGTACAAATCCAAGCCTGTCGCTGTAAAAATTATAGAGCCAACCAAAGAATCAACTGAATCAAAGGAAAAATTTCAGAGAGAGGTTATACTTCTTGCAAAGGTGAAACATGACAATATTGTGAAGGTATGCTACTTATTTCCTCTTATTTGTTCTTATGCCTGCATTTTTTATAAATATATACTGTTTGTTCATCATTTCTTGGAATTGGAAAGCCTTTTCTCTCTTTTGTAAAGGACTTTAACAACTTATACCTGCCTGGTATGAGTTCTATACTATTCTGGTTCCTCAGTTCCTCGGTTTGGTTATTAGAAGAAAACATTTATGTAAATTGACCTTTTGTTTCAAGAAACATCTTTCTTCGATTTATATCAAGGTGATGAGATGAAATCGTGACCTGAGGAAATGAACACCTCTGAGATCGCTGTACTTTTGTTCCTAAATTGGTATTCAATGCCCTTTTAGCTTCTGCAAACTGGTTGCCTAAGTATTAAAGTAATGATGGTTTGGGATAATCTTTGCTTGGAGTAATACTTGTTCCCTCACGATTCCTTAAAATACTCATAATGTAACCATATATGGAACTTTTGTTACTATACTGACTGTAAGAATAAAGTATCTTTGACAAACAACTCCAGCTATACATCACTGTATGAGATTACAGTTCCTGTTTTGAGAATTTGCTAGCACTCTAAGAACTGATAGAGTATTATCTGCACGAAACCTACATATTAAGGAATGGAATCTACATATTAATACTGATGATAGTATTATCTGGAACTTTTAGTATAAATTATGGAAAGATATAGTGATGATAGTAATTTGGAAATCTACATATTAAGGAATAAAATCTCTTTTCCTTTTTGGTTTCTGTATCTTTCGGTTTCACCATGCTTCACCTCTAAATGTATCTAGATTCATATCAGTGTCACTTATTCAAGCTTGAACATCTTATGTTCATGATCAATGCCCTTAGCCCATGTGCTCATATAAGTCATTGCTCTGAAACAGTTTATTGGTGCGTGTTTTGAACCATCTCTGATGATACTTACTGAGCTTATGAGAGGTGGTACAGTTCAGAAGCATCTGCGGAACATCAGGCCGCAGACCCTAGATCTGAAGCTTTCCATAAGTTTTGCATTGGATATAAGTCGAGCTATGGAATACTTGCATGCAAATGGTATTATCCATCGTGATTTAAAGCCAGGTAATTTTTCTTTTTCCTTTTCTTTTTCTGGTTGTTCTAGTTATTTTAGTTTATTTTGATGACAGGCAACTGATCGGGCGTTTGGGTTGGCAACATATCCCGCTTGTAATTGTAAATGAGGTCCTTAGTAGATCCACAAAAATATTTAGTCATTTCTAGTTTTGAAATTTTGCCAGAATGCTATTGTTAGAATCATCCTGTTTTCTTTTAGTTTTGCGTGCTCGTCTAAGTTCTTATTCTAGATTATTAGACAATATGGTTGAAACATTGTTTATCGCAGAAATTGAGTTCTAATCTAACAAATAACCTTCTTTTCTTTCCCAGCCAATCTACTTCTTACAGAAGACATGAAGCAAATTAAGCTGGCTGACTTCGGGCATGCTAGGGAGGAGATAGCCGGTGCAATGACTAGTGAGGCTGGTACATACCGGTGGATGGCTCCTGAGGTGCAGTTTTTTGTGTTACTTTGTTCAAATTTTTATACTGCAAAAAATTTCATAATATGGCTTAATTTTTTTCTTTTTATCTGAATTAGTTATTCCACACAGAGCCACTTCCAAGAGGAGTGAAGAAGCAATATGATCACAAGGCAGATGTGTACAGCTTCTCCATAGTTCTGTGGGAGTTGCTGATGAACGAAACTCCATTCAGGGGAAGGGCTAGTATAATGGCAGCATATGCTACAGCGAAAGTAAGTCCTGTGACTGACATTTAATCATAAAATAATATTCCAGAAACCCGAAAACTGATAGCTACTGCAAGCTCTTTAACACTCCTATCTCTATTCTCTTTTAAAACTCAGCCCAATTCATTCCATGGTGCTTGATCTTTTCGAATTGCCTTAGATTTACTAAGAAACTTGTATGATTGTTTAAATTTTGGAAAGTTTGATTTTGCTGCTGATCCGATGAACTGAGTGTAACATGAAAACAATTTTTCGAAAGTTTAATGACTGTTGGTGGATTTTTCTTTTGCCATAGAAACAGATGTTCTATGATTTGCTACATTCTGTGGAAACATTTGGATGAATTTTTCGCTCTTGCTTTGCAGGCAGTACGGCCGAGCCTGGATGACATTCCTGAGAAGATCATCCCACTCTTGGAGTCCTGTTGGGCACATGACCCAAAGACCCGGCCTGAGTTCATGGAAATCACAGATTTTCTTTCCAACTTGTTCAAGGAACTGTGTTCAACTGAGGCCGAACCTCCCAAAGTCGTTGAGACTGAAGTTGAACATCCTGAGAAGTGCAATGTGAAGAAAGAAGAATCGGCAATTACCAACCATGTGATTGACAGGCCTGAAGAGAAGAAGAAGGGTAAAAGGCGAAAGAAGAGCAGATCATTAAGCTTCTTGTGGTGCTTTGTATGTAAGTGCTGGTGTGGTTGACAAGTGGCATTGTGGGTTCTGTTTTGGGTTCTTTAGGGCTGAGGGGCTCACTACACAGGCTAGGAATTGTTTTGGTTATTCTCTCACCTTTTGTAGGATACACAGAAGAACTACAGATATAGATAGGTACACACAGCCAGGGTTTCTGAGCTGAACTGTTGTTATGTAACTTGTGTTACAGACAACTGTACAGAAATTACATTGGTAGGAACCTTAGAATTAAAAAAACAAAAAAACAGACAGAGAGCTAGAGAGGGAGTTGGATACAAAGTGTTTTCCCAGTTGGATTGCTTTACAAATCAAGAGCTTAATCTTTTGTGAATTTTGATCTTTAGCAATTTATTTTTCTTCAAATTCTTCTCAAACCATTGGATTTTGTATTTCATTTTCATAGGTATGCTGGCTTGTCCCTTTAAGACTCTTAGATTTTGGAATATTTTGTTTCGTACAAGTTAATGTGATTAGTCATAATAATGACGCCCTTTCTGATGCCTGAATTGTTGGTTATGGTTAAGAACAGTAGGCTTTCAGATAAGGATCTTGTTTCCCTTTCTGTGCTGGTTGCTTAGTAGTGCTTATCTTGTGTGTTGACTAAGCGACGTCATCATTGCTAGTGGTAACTATATCCAAGTTATGTGAATTTGTAAAAACGCTTTCCGGTTCTAAAAACGCTTTGATTAGATTTTGTAGATGATTGCACGTATATGGAGTTTGCATAGGACAATATGATATGTAAGTGTTTGTATTGATTTGGGGTTTTTGCATGTTACAAAAATTGTAATAAATGTTGGACCCACATAATTAGTGTATATCGAAGATCGAGATACGTGCCATAATTTGAGTGGGATAAATATGTAACAGCAGCGGGTACTTTGATACAAGGAACAAATTTTCAGGAGGAGAAAGTGGGTCATGAATTTTTTCCGTATTCAACTAAAAACTATAGCCTTTTTTTATTAGGGTGACGTGGCCGTAAATCAAGGAGAGTTAGTAGAAGAAACCGGACAGGAGGGAGGGAGAGAGTAGAGATAAACAATAAAGAAATAAAATAAAGTAATAATGTTAAATTAAATTAATATGAAAAGGTAGCTGTCAGGATGAGTCATCGTGGTTCCTGCATCGTCACGATCTAATCCAGTGAAACGTGGACAGCTGGACACATCTACCTCGCACGTGTCTCCCCCGCCAAACCCTAACTCTTTTTGTTCCGGTAGACTACCGCCACACTGGATCACTCCGTACAGCCCCCAACCCACATATCTACTCAGCCCCCCCAAACTCAAACCCAAAGCCCCGTCCCCAAACAACGACAAAACTAAAACTAAAACTACTTAGAGAGAAAAAGCTGAAGCGTTCATCTCTCTCTCTCTCTCGCTCTCGCTCTCGCCCACGTAGTTTTGAATTGAAGGTTCTAAATTCGAAAACCCTAGATTCCTAATTTGTTAGCCGTTGATCTTAAATAAAGTGTTGTTCCACCTGGACTTCCACCTCACTCTCCTAAACGCCATGAAAGCAGGTCTCTCTCTCTGTCTCTCTCTCTCTTTCCTTATATAATGCAAATCACGCGTCTCATGGCCTGATTTCCCGTAAATTGCCTTTCCGTTCGTTTTGTGTTTGTATTATTCCACGGATTGTGTCAAAATCTGAGCTTTGTTGAATTCTTTGTTGTGTACGCAAGTTAATCTGTTGCGCTTATTGGCTGCTATTCATTTACTATCAGCTTTTGCTTCAGCTCTGTGATAATGGTTTGATTGAATTTTGAGCTTGCTGTAGGAAAATTAGTTAAATTGAGATAAGGGTAGGTGTAATTTAATCCCCAGTTGATAAATTTCATGGCTTTGAGTGTCAAATCGGTGCCTGAATAGTAAATACTTGACAATTTGAAGGGGATTTTTTAGTCTTTCCCTCTCAACCCTTCTTTGGTTGACCACATTTTTTTGTTTTGGTTAATCTTGATTAATTGAACCATCTAATTACTTATCTTAGGGCTGTTAATTTTGTTGTTTTGCAGGTGCTTCATAGATATATATATAAGAATAAACGTGATCTGTTAAATTGTGAATTTAAGGGGTGTTTTCTGGGCCAACAAAAATGGGGACAGGGGAAGAGGGCACGCCTTCTAAGCCTTCCAAACAAGCTTCTAGGGGAAGAGGGCACGCCTTCTAAGCCTTCCAAACAAGCTTCTACAGCTCAGGTAGTCCCTCCCTCCCTCCTCCGAAGTCCTCAATTCTTTCCCCTCAAGTTTTTAATCAGTCTCCCATGAATTTACAGGAAATACCAACAACACCTTCATATCCTGATTGGTCCAGCTCTATGCAGGTTCATGATGAAAACACATTCTGGGTCAATATGTGATTTTTTTTAAAGTAAGCAGATAGATAAATTTGATATCTTGATAAATAATTTTAATAGCTCATAGCTTCTTGTTTAGGCTTATTATGGTCCTGGAGCTACTCCACCTCCCTTTTTCGCCTCTACTGTTGCTTCCCCAACTCCACATCCCTATATGTGGGGAGCCCAAGTAAATGTCTTTTCCTTTGTTACATAGGAAAGAAGATTGCTTTTTTTTTTTGGGTTGAAAAAAGGGGGTGTTTATTCTCTTTTTGTGTTTCAGCATCCTATGATGCCGCCATATGGAACTCCAGTTCCATACCCAGCCATGTATCCTCCAGGTGGAGTTTATGCTCATCCTAGTATGGTCGCGGTATGATGCTATCCCTCTCATATGATTATATCCCTCGCAAACCAACTCTGACACAAGTCGCTTCTTGCTATTTGCTTTATACACGTCTTTCCATCTTCATTGATAAAAATGGCCTCTATGATGTTATCTAAGATTTCAACCTCATCAGCTGTTTTCTTGCATTCATTTACTCTTTAGACTCCAGCCTCAGCACAGACAAATCCAGAGTTGGAAGGGAAGGGCCCAGATGGGAAAGAGCGGGTTTCAACCAAAAAACCCAAGGGAACTGCAGGAAATACAGGTTTGGTTGGTGGCAAGGCTGGGGAGAGTGGAAAAGCAACTTCAGGTTCAGGAAATGATGGCGCTTCACAAAGGTGTGCTAATCTTTGCTTTGGATTCCTCCTTTCGACAATGTTTTAGATTTCTCTTTTCTCTTTTTACATTGGGTCCGTGCAAGATTTTTGTATCAGTGTGGTGCCTTGTTGTCTGACTGTAAATTTTTTGGATAATAGTGGTGAAAGTGGTAGCGAGGGTTCATCAGATGGCAGTGAAGATAATGCTAACCAACAGGTGTGTATAAGCATTTTAGCTAATTGCTCCTAGGTGTTGGTTGTTACTTTGCTTGACTAACAAAGTTGCAGGCCCATCTGGAAAATTGTTGTTGCCCATTTTTCGCTTGCCCACATCAACACTTAGATATTCTGTGTTGGACTTTATACTTCCATATTAACCTGTTCGAACAAAATTTCTTCTGGTATGATGTATTCTTCTTCTTCTAATGAAAACATGGTTGATTTCTCTCTAGGAGTATGGTGCAAACAAGAGGGGAAGCTTTGACAAGATGCTTGCAGATGGTATATTAATCGTGTTCAACTTCCTGCTTGTGTTATATTTGTAAAATGGTTTGCTCATAATTAATTTTCCAGGAGCAAATGCACAGAATACTGGGGCAAATGTTCAAGCTTCAGTGCCTGGGAAGCCTGTCTCTATGCCTGCTACTAATCTGAATATTGGAATGGACTTATGGAATGCAACCCCTGCAGGTGCTGGAGGAGCAAAAATGAGAGCAAATCCGTCAGGTGCTCCATCGGCTGCGGGTGCTGATCACTGGATTCAAGTACGAATCTTTCTGTTATCTTCTAAATTGTTATTTTGTAATCACTATCCATGCAAAAATTTACACGCACGCATGATCATATATGTGTATATAATATAGATAGATAGATAGATGGAGAGAGAGAGATGTTGTCAATTTATTTTTCGGACCAATCTGGAAGCACATTTAAAGATTACACTTAATTAATGCTAGATTAACAACCATGTAAATTAACATGCCAGATTGTGTGCCAAGAGGAAATTTGCCTAGTCATGGTGGAGACGTTATGAATATCTTTCTTAAAAGACTGGCATTATAATAGTTTTATTAAGGTTTTAATTTGTTTGTCATGATTTTGACAGGACGAACGTGAACTGAAAAGACAGAAAAGAAAGCAATCAAATAGGGAGTCAGCTAGGAGGTCAAGATTACGGAAGCAGGTACAGATGTACTTATATACACTATTTGGCAGCAATTTCCCTGTTCTATCTGGCTTTTTATTTGTTTATTTAAATTTCAATAAAAAGGTCAGTACCCAATTTGGTCACAAATGAAGGGCTATGGGAGGAAAATCTGCATTTAAGGAAGAAAAAAAAAAGTAATATTTGTCCCTCTTTAACTAGCTGAAATTTTAATAAGCATCGTGTGCTACAAGATTATCAATTTTAAAGGACCAATCAAACAATAGAGCTATGTGCTAAGACCTGAACAAATATAATATATATTGATATCATACATATATATGCTTAACTCCCTCTTCCGTTTCTTATGTTTACCAGGCAGAGTGTGAAGAGCTACAAGCAAGGGTGGAGACATTGAGCAATGAGAATCATAACCTTAGAGATGAACTGAACAGGCTCTCAGAAGAGTGCGAGAAACTCACATCTGAGAATACTAATATAAAGGTTTACTTCAATACAATTGCATTTTCTTGTTCTTATTTTACTTCTATGCCAAATGTCAAATCCATGTTCACATAAACTCAAATGGAAAGAGGATCCTTGCCAGTTCAAGTTGTAGCTTGATGGGTTAAAAGCAATCAAAGTTGCCTGAATGTTTCACTAATCTGTTCCACTAGTGCCGTCCATTTTTTGATACGTATGATTTTTTCTGCTATACAGGAAGAGTTGACACGAGTGTGCGGACCAGATTTCGTAGCAAACCTTGAGCAGCAGCCTGGTGGTGGTGAGGGCAACAGTTGAGAAGGAATTAATTTCTCTTTGTAGTAACAGAAATTTATTGAGCTCCGGAAGCCATGACCCTCACTCGAATTGAGCGTAGAGCATTTGTTTCCCTTACTAATTTATACACTTAACCCTTCTCTGTAACTGTAACGTTTATTTATCAACTTTCAACTGAGTTGGATCCTCGGAGCCATGCAAATTGTTGTACCATTGGAAAAGAGTATATAATAGATTGCTTCCATTGACTATTTATCTTTTCGAACCGATTTGTACTTCCTCCTTCCTAACCCGTTTTTACTGTTTCTGTGCTCACTCAAAATGATGCTGCGGACGGAGTGGAGGAGTTTGGTTATAGAAACAGCAAACTTTTTGTATCTTTGTTTCGAAGTGGCAGAGGCTGAGAAAGAAATGACGCAATATAGCCCAATTTTTCTTCGACAGTTTTTGCAACTCACCTTGCTTTTTTACTTTCATAGATTCATTAATTCCACATCAAATGTGAGAGTTGGGAAAATAGGCGGTGTTTCCCTTTCTCTTACAACTAGCAGGGCATCAGTTAGAAAAGGCAGTGCTTGGTTAAAGAACTTCCAACGAAAAAGGGTAGGGAAGGAAAAGAAAAGGACAAAACGTTAAACCGAATGTGGTAAAGATAAACATGAGCAATATTTCCATCTGCTAAAGTACAGTTAAAGTTGATATCATATTTACCAAATTGTGAGATAACATGCCAAGAGTAAAGCTACCCAAAAATGATTTTCTTCATTGCATACTACTTCAGATCTTCACTAATTACAGCACAAATAAGAAATACTTTTCCTCCTTTTTTCTCTTTTTGCACCAGGAACAGAAGGATTTCAAAACTACACATATTACCAACAGGAAAAAACACTAATCATTCTCTTTTTAATAATATCACTAATCCTCATGATCAGACTCCGAAACTGGGGCTATTCTTGCCTGGCCTTCTATTGCATTCTGTCGTGGTACGTCTGAATTAGGCCTCGGGTCTGTTAAATAGGAGGGAGGGCAATGAACTGTAGTCAGAAAGACTGGACCAGCAAATATAACAAACAAGCTCTAACTACTAGCCTGTTAAACTAATGATATCCATCACATTATATACGATCCCTTTGTAGGGGAGAAAATGTAGGTGTTTGACTTTGAGTGTATGTGGTGGGGATACCAATGTCATTCTCACCTGAACCCAAAATTTTCATCACCACAGCCCTAGCATACTCAATCTCCGCTTGGTGAGCACTAATGAGTTTGTGCTGCAATATAGAAACCAGATAGCTCTATGACTGTACATTGTAGTATTTCCTACAATGTAAAAACAGAAACAAGCACTTGCACAGACAGTTGATTTTGACCATGACCAACAAATTTCAATGGTACCGCTTACCAAAGTAATATTCACATAAACTCATATTGCTCAAGAGACAGAAGGCATACCAATTCACCATATGTGAGTCCCAGAACTCGATCAACCCGAGTTTGATGCTTCAAAAAGAATGGACGTAGATGGTTCGTGTACAACTGCTTTGCTCCCTGGTAGAATCAGGCAGTTATTTACTAATTTTTATAGAAGAAAGCAGGTAGTTAATTACAACACAATTTTCCCCACATGTCCATATCTCATAAAGTTATGCATATAAACAGAGTGTGCTATGAAATGCAACAAAGCATTATGAACACAGCTCAAAATGCAACCATAGAAAAAAAAACAACCATAAACACCCAAATGAATATGCATTTATTTTCTTCCAAGTGTCTGTTATCATCCTCATTAACAAGTGATGTTCAACAGAATTGGATGACAATCATGATGCTGTCTTTTACTGCCTGACAGCTCGAGACTAGCTGCTTATCACTTGACATCACAACTAGAAGATATAAACTCTAAAGCTAAATCAACTAGTCTAACCTGCATTTTACTCCTCATAATCTCATTGCACCAACCCCCTTCCGTGGCCCCAAAAAAGAACATAAACATGAAGTCCCTTCCAAAATGCCTTTCAAAAAAAAAATTCAACCTAATTCAAAAGAAATATGTTTTAATATTATCTGCAATGAGCTTCATTTTATAATTATATATATGCACAGTAACTATGTAATATGGTTTTGTTAATAAACCCAGGAGAAGAGTCCAAGTGATGAGGTAGGTGGGGACAAGGGTTAAGATTAGAATAGGTCATGGGTCAAATCTCATCCCAATCTGGCAAAGAAAAAATATCATTCAAAACAGAAAGATGAAAAAAATGGTGAAATTACTCGATTTATCCAAACATTCCCTGGATGTTTCCCAAATTACAAATGAGTTTGAATATACGAGGATAATTGAAATGACACACTAGAAGTTAATGCAAGAGAGGGTGAGAGAAAATAGATAATTAGAACCAACTCAACTTTGTGACTGCCTTTGTCATTTTCATTATGTACTGACACAAGCACTCCAAAGAGAAGAATAGCATTGAACTTACATCGACAGATGGAAGTTGGAGCCAAACAAGAAAGGCAAACTTCAAATGATAGTACATTGGGCACCTGGGTACAACAACAATAAAGATGAGGTTGTCTATCAAGCTCAGGTAAACGCATGCTTAAATTAGTAGTGATATCTTTTCTTATAATGTTGTAAGATACAATTTACTCTTTCCTTATGCCAATATAATCTCATTTGTAACTATAGCATGTTATACCCTGAATGCTACTGCACCATAGTCTTGTTGGAGAAATGGTTCATGTCATGATTATAACAAGTACATGAATAGATAAATTTAAAAAATATGAAAGAGTGTAGGATATCTGATTTTATTATTCTTCAAAATGTGGATTTCTTTTAATTATATAGGAAAACTGAATTTTTTGCTATTCAATTCATCAAAACATTGTGGTTGACACATGCAATTCATCAGGGGTTTAATTAAACCATCTGTAATGTACAAACTCGAAAGAGGTCAAGAGTAATCCTGAAACTACACAAAACCGTACGGGATCCTGGGCAAATAATATGCATATGTAAAAAAGTAGTATATGTTAAACGACACAAATAAAACAATTTATCGGATTTTCACGGGGGAAAACTTGACCCATCTAACCTAAAATAGAGAATCTAACTTCATGACAAATGTGATGATTTTGAGAAATAGGATCCAGAGTCTTACCAAGAAATAAGCTTGTCTGAAAATATTTCCACAAGGCTGAAAGATCCATAAGCTGCAACCATTTGAAGTCGACAATTGAAAGAACTAAATTAGTTGCATGATAATGTCCGAAAATCATAAGCCTGTGTTATATACAGTTGAGATGAAAGGTGAACCAAATCCAAGTTCAAATGGAAAATAATACTAATAATAATAATAATTTCTAACCTGCCCAATATAAAAGCCACTTTTCTTGTGCATTACGATCTTTCCTCTCAATTGCCTTGCATGTACAGTATACTGGTATACCAATCCCCACAGAACAACTATACCAGAGAAAAACTCAACGTCGAATCACAAAATAACCATTTTTGAAGCTTATACAGAAGAAAGAAACAGTAGTCATGGCTTACCATGCTGTTCGAAGAACAATGTTTGAACCGAGAGGGCAAAGGAGCAATCGTAAACCTACCTGCATCAGATATTTTCAAACATCAATTTTAAGCATGCAACTATCAAAAATGTAATGCATTCCAGTCTAAATTTGACAGGCAATATTACAGCCAAAGAACAATGATAACACAAATAACAACACATAACACACACAGAGGCAAATTGATGAGGTATTCTGTAACTATCAACACCCACTAGATTGGCGCTTTAAGGACACTAAAATTAATTGCAGAGGCAGACAGGGTCCAAACAAGACAATTGATTTCCTTTACCAAAGGATAAAAAAGGAAATTAATGAATTTGACAATCAAAGTTTCTTAATTTCTCACAGGAAATGGTATTAAAATCATTATCTTGCGCCGGATCAGCAAGAATTGAAATTCTAAAAACAAATAATCAGTTTAAAGTGAATCATCGGAAATATTATTGAATAAACAATTTAATTTCATATTATTAGTTATTACGAATCCCTAAATCAAATTGGAATTCGAATTTTGGGATCAGCCTGTTACAACTGTTGATGCGAAATTGAAACGAGAGCAAGCCAAAAGAGAAAAATGTCATTGGGCAAAGAGCAAAGGAAAGCAAAATCGAAGGAGGAAGGTGAAACTTGACCTCGCTGGCTATGTTGGATCCGAGAAGCGCCATCTCCGAGCAGAGCAAAGAGCGCAGGGAAACCGCCTAACCGTTAATTTCGTTTTCGATATATGGCGTTTTTATACTTGTGATTTATTAATCTAAGTTAGTAGAAACGAGATAAATGGAAAAAACTGAGAATTTAAATTAAGGAAAAAAAATAGTAAAAGTAATTTTAAAAAATCATTTTAAATTAAAAACTAATATCACTTAAAATGATTTTTCATTAAATTTAAAACCCATTCCGCAAAACGTGGGTCTATTACCTTGTGCCTAAGTTTGAATTCCTCTCTCCATAGATTATCTCATGTATCCTTTTTAAAAAAACATATTCCGTGTATTTTACTCCTAATCAACTGTAATTATATGAACTAAAGAAACTGTAACTGTTTTTTTTAATTCAATCGAATTCACATGTTGAGATTATTAATCGTGGAAGAGGGTTTAGCCATCTATATATGAACTAAAGCAATTAGTAATGTAAAGACGACCAATCAATATTGGAAAAGGAGGAATCGAACTTAGGATCTTGAGTGCAATGATAAATATAATACTTTTAAATCACTTGAGTTACAAGCCACTTGCATGCTTTGTTATTGGATTTTTACAACCCACCCATGGTGGATTGTTTTTGCCCTACTAATCCGAGGGGTTGGAGTGCGCTTAATACAATCTCACCAACATGTAATTGCAACCAAATTAAGATCATCTTGCTCATTTGGTTTAACTACCAGTATATTGTTGATAATTTAGACGCTCTATTTTAGTTACAAACTCACGCTACAAGATTCAATCTTAAAATTTAATCTATGAAGAAGAAATGTAAGAAATAAGTGATGTGGAATGAAATATGATTCATTGATTCATAATTGAGTGTTGGGACATTGCCAATAATTGCTTAGCTTCCCTGTTATGTTTGTTAAAAAACAAGCCAAAAAAAGAGTAACAAGGACAAAACCAAACGAGAACCACACGTACACCAAAGAAAGAGAAAACTACTCCCAAATCCAACAAAACAAA